TTCTGATGAGAACTTGACTTCAGTGGAACTAGTCACAGTGTATAACGCTAAGTGAGCGCTTTGAAGGCCTGGGGCCTCAGGAAACTGTGGATTAACGCTGAGGTTTTTAATATTGCAAAGAGATGGAGAGATTTCTGATTTCACAATTTATTCTCTTAATGGGAGTTAGTGAAAGCAGCAGCAAAAAAAAAAAAAAAAGCTAATCCAACTGTTAAAGGGCATGTGGCTGCACACAATAGCTAAATTCACCACTTCCTGTGTCAAATCCAGTGAAAAAATAAAAACTGGGGGAGCTGGAAAAATGCAGCCTGAAATCTTTAGTTTTGATTTTCCTTTTTTATATTTTTTTCTGGGAAAGCTCTTACAGAACCACCAGGATTACTTTGACATTTAGCACTAAGGAAACTGCAGGTCTGGAACTACTGTACGCTAGCTCCTGTTTTTGTTCCCTGTAGGTATTATTTTCTATGATCCGTGGCGCATTTTTTCTTGGACAGAGCTACCCATACTTAGAGAGTGTTGCCAATGCTCGAGGTGCTGCCTATGAAGTGTACAAGGTTATCAGCAAGGTACTTAATGTCGCTTTTCTAGCAGTCTGAAATTTCTGATTTATTTCTCAAAAAATTCAAAAAGTGGATAAACTCCATAGACTCATACCACTGAAAACAAAAATAAGACGACATTTCTATTCATATTAAGGAGACATGCACCTTAACCAATGCCCTAAATGTGCTTATTGCAAACTTTGGGGAAATTCAGATCTATAGCTCAACTTTACAGATTGGGGCCCTATTTCCTGTTAGGTTAGTCACTCCCTCATTTATTTATTTTTTTAGAGTAAGTGGTGAAGAGCTAAGTGAAATGACATTGCTCTTTAAAACACAAGTATATGGAGTAGACATGATTTCAGTTCAACTGCTTTTGATTTGAAGATTAACAGTGCTGTTGAAAGCTATGGTAATACTGTTGCTGGGGAAGAGGGATGCCACACTTTCAGTAACTAACTCTTAGAATTTTGTACAGCAGTTTGTTATATAGCTGCAGTCTCAGGTTCATATTAGGTTAGAACAAAGGGCTGAGTTTTGTCCTCTGTTATGGCCATAAATGTCTATTGGTTTCAGTGAGGTTGTGTGGATATAACAAAGGGCGGAATTTTGCCCAGAGAAACTAAATTAAGGGTGATCAAACTCTGTGTAACAACCTCTGGAGTTGGTTGTTCCTGACCTATCACACTAAGCAACTCTTTAGGGGACTCACCCCGGACTACAGCAACGATGGCTACAGAGGCTTAGGACTCTATTTCCCAGATTGCCCAGAGTCCTGGATGGAGATAGAACACGCTGGAAGCTACTACCAGAACCAATCGGAAACCAGAACTTATTTTTGGTTTTGCTGGTCTTGGAGTGGAGTAGAGAGAGCCTAGGAGGTCCCCTTTAAACTTCCCATTCCTACTCAAAGAGAAGATTTGAACTCAGCCGCTGGTTACTGGGTCATTGAAAAGTGTCAGTTCAACAGAGAGCAGCAACCTGGGAAGTGGAGGAGCAATTCCAGGACAAGCTATTTAGCGCCAGGCTAATTTTCCATTGGACTTCAGACCAGGGAGCCTCAGGATGATGGTATCTTTTTAGGGGTGAAGACTTTTGTAATAAATCCCCAGCTTGTTATTTTGCTTGTGCATTTTAAGCCCACCAAAAATTTCAGGCTGCATCACTCCTCCAAGATCTGATTCTCAACCCACATTCTGCCTAGGCAGATGCTGGGAGGGAGCTAAGGGATTTGGGCCCATTGTAAATGTTGGGAGATGGATAATTTAAGGTATAGTTGATGTTTTATTATTCTAGTTACTCCTGTTCTTTCCTTGTCCCCATCCCAAAATGCTTTGCAGGGTATACACAAGGATTCAATTTCACTGATATGCAGAATCCTCTGGGGTGAAATACAGCAACCAGTGATCAGTTAAACTGCTATGTAGTGTTGCAGTGTTTCTTTTACTGTCCTAAACAACTTATCCTTCTAAAGCCACAACTGTAAAATCACAGAAATATGTAATACCTTTTCAAAATCTCTCTTCAGCACCGTCTTCTAGATAGCAGTGCCAAGGAAGGATACAGACCAGACAAGCTCAAAGGAGACATTGAATTCAAAAACATCCATTTCAGTTACCCATCTAGACCTGATATTAAAGTAAGTGATCTTTATACATTCATCTTTGCAGTAAAAAGCTACTGCCATTATCTGTAAAAAAAGAAAACTGATATTTTATCAATTTAATGTGTTCATTTTAATTCAGTTTTTTTTAAAGTGTCCATCCTGTATTCTGGATATTTATGCACCACAGTGTGGTCTAGTTGAAAAACATTGGGTGAGGACTCAAGAGACCAGGATTCTATTCCCAGCTCTGCCACCAGCCTGCAAAGTAACACTTGGCAAGTCACTTCACCTCTCTTCCTCCGTTTCCCCATCTGTAAAATGGGAATAGTAATACTGTCCTCCTCTTTAAAGTGCTTTGCGATATATGGATGAAATGTACTATGTAAGAGCTAAATGTTATTATAATAGTTATAAAAATACAACAACAATGCAGGATTTGAAGGCATATTGGTTAAAGCCATTATTCTAAATCACTCCTGACAATGAAATGGAAGCCAGTGCAGATCACAGAGCATGGAGGTAAGATTCTCCCTACAGAAAATGACCTCTAAGAAACAGACTGCCATACTCTCCACCAGCTGAAGTTTGTGAGGCGAGTCATCTTGTTGTACAGTCCCATGTATGGTACTTTTCAGTAATCCAATACTTCTCTCTGGATTGACATCTGTACCAGAATTGAAAGTTTGGAACCTTCTGGCCAAGTGACAGAGACAAGGAAAATACTATTCGGCACTACTGCTTCCTGCATGCAAAAGCAGCTGTGGATCCAACAGGTTACAAACTCACTTGAGTGTGCTGCGGTTAGCTCTGCCATTTCTTCTGATGGTTTCCTCCAACCTACAAGCATAAATTCAATCATTTCTGAGGTTAGTCACAGCCAGGGCTGGCTCCAGGGTTTTTGCCGCCCCAAGCAGAGAGAGAGGGGAAAAAAGAAGCCGCGATCGCAATCAGCTTCAGTCTTTGGCGGCAATTCGGCGGCTGGTCCTTCGCTCCGAGAGGGAGTGAGGGACCTGCCGCTGAAGAGCCGGACGTGCCGTCCCTCTCCGTTGGCCACCCCAACCACCTGCTTGCTGGGCTTGTGCCTGGAGGCAGCCTTGGTCACAGTTGACTTGCCTGCATCAAACCCACCCTGTAACTTGCTGGCTAAACCAGTCGACTTCTCCCAGCTGGGTCTGATGAAACAGAGACCTAGAGCTATGTTATCTGAATACTGAAGACAGTGTAGTCTGTGCTGTCTCACTGTCTTCCCCTAATGGTCTTACATACAAATTGAATAGGAGGGTGATAAGACAGAATCCCACATCACTCTACACAAGAGAAACTCTGGACCGGATGAGCCACCCTTTAGGCCTGTGGCTGGAATGGGATGAAGCCATTCAAGAATGATTCCATCCATCCCTTCCAGAGTCCACCCTGTGTCAGCAGTGGGTCATTATCAATGGTATCAGAGGTAGCTGGCAAGGCTAAAAGAATCATCCTGGATACCTGGTTCTCATCAATCACCAGCCAAAGATGGTCAACATACAGGATCAAAGCAATCTCCATTTAGTACCTAAATTTGGAATGAACCGGGTCACAGAGAGCTGAAGATTCTAGTTATTGTCAGCGTTACCTTGACATGCCCTTTCCTGCCTTACCTAAAAAGGGAGGTTAGAGATGGAATGGTCGTGATGAGAAATGATGTTAAAGGGGTGGCGAATGATGCTCTTGCTTGGTCAAGCAAACACCAAAGCTTATCTGCTAGTAGCTTACTGAAAAACTGGAGCTCTTCTGGTATAGTTTAAGGAGACAAGAACAATATTACTGTTGTTTTGATCTTCTATTGCAAAAATTGTGTAGTCATAAATCAGCCTAAATATCAATATACATAAGATTTCCCATAGGAGACAAATATTTTGGCCACTAATAATATTAGACATTTATAAGATGGGATAAACGGACTGTGGTAAAATGTTCCTAAATGTGAACATAGCATCAAAAGTGTCATTACTCCATAACTAATCCCTCCCTATTAAATTCTAGAGATTGTCAAACCCTGACTCTTCCTTCCATTGAGGATATTAAAACACCCACTTTGTTTTCAGAGCCAAAGGTTTTTTCTTAGGTCAGTCTTTATAGAATAAGAATAGAACAAAGCAAGATTGTTATTAGTAATAAAAACTTTTTCTTGTCATCTTCGAAGTGCTTTCCAACCAGGATTGGAACAAAGGACTGAAAGCAGGCCTGGGAGTTCAGTACACTGTTAGACCAGACCTCTCATTATTGGCTTGATCATGATGCCAAGCATCTTAATGGACCTTTTTATAAACAAACCGTTTATTTAGGTAGCTCTACATTTATTAGACTAACATATAAAGATTATATTTCCAGATTCTCAAGGGCCTGAACCTGAAAGTTCAATCAGGGAAGACCATCGCTCTGGTTGGGTCCAGTGGCTGTGGCAAAAGTACTGCTATTCAGCTGCTACAGAGATTCTATGATCCAGTCCAAGGAGAGGTTAGTTTGCATGAACTGTCGATATTCCTGGCTACTAGGATGAAGATTAGGATGACTAGATTACACCTATACTTTAAAAGGACATTACAAAAAATTGGATTCTTAAAGAACAAAAGATACGTAGCATCCAAAGAAATTCTGAAACTGATTTTTCATTACTTTCATTACATTCATTACATTATTCCATAATGATGAGAATATTTTAAAAACCTAGATAGGACTTTACTGATATTAAGGGAAGTCAAAAATTTGGAGTCCTTTTTGTTTATTCTGCTCCTTCTGTTCTTCTAGTCTGAGGTGATTGTGAAGATATATTTTTAGTTCTTCCTGGTTATTTTGTTTAAATGGTATTGCTTTATTCCATGTGAGAAACTGCTAAACAAATACCAAAGTCAATTATTAGATTATTATTATTATTATTATACCATTATAACGACTAATTATTTTAAACATAATACATTTCCTCAAACTCTTCATTTATGCCTTTCCACTCAGGTTACCTTAGATGGACGAGATATTCATACACTTAATATAAAGTGGCTAAGAGAACATATTGGCCTTGTAAGCCAGGAGCCTATTTTGTTTGCTACAACAATAGCTGACAACATTCGCTGTGGCAGAGAGGGTATTACTGATTCTGAAATTGAGAAAGCTGCTAAAGAAGCCAATGCTTTTGATTTTATATCCAGACTGCCTGATGTGAGTTGATGTACTTTTGAGCACCTTATAACTATGACTAATTCTTTGGTTTCTCTCTCTCTCTCTCTCAGTTTTTCTG